TTCTTACCCTGGCCTCCTTACTAAACCTTTTCCTCAGGGAATTGCCAGGTGGATTCCAAAGCCTCACATGACACGGCTGGTGAAGGTCTTCAGGGGAAGTTAAGGTGGTGATGAGTGAACATCCTGCGTCTCATCCTGGGCACAACAAAACAAATTTGTCACATCTGACTGAATAGTCTTGATTTTTTTAATCTCATAGAGGAAGACCTGAATCAGGCCCTGAGGATGATAGTTTTGTCTGGTTATAAATACATTATAATGCCCTCTGTTACCTCATGGTCTTCCTGTCCTGTGTGGCTGATGAGAGTCATTTAAATCACATGGCATCTGAGAGCCTGGCAATAGTGTTTGGACCCACCGTCTTTCAGTGAGTGTTTGTACTGATACTGTATCAAGTCTGATGTATTTAGGAAAGTGACGCTTTGTTTGTTCAGCGTTCCTCTTGGCCCCGCCGTGATAGAGGAACACGAGCTGTGTAACGGTTTGACAGAGCACCTGCTGGACAACTTATTCATCCTATGCCAAACATGCCCTCATGTACAGTATCCACCAGCACCAGTGTTGTTAAATGATAGGTATTAATCATTGCTATTGTGTAAGAGTCAACATGATAAAAGATAATCCTTTAGTTTTTGCATATGTGTGAGAGATCGAAAAAGCTTAGATGTGTTTGTGTGACTGAGGAGAAGGGAACTGGACTTATGAAGAGTGTCCAACAGCTGCCACTCACAGAAATCAGGCACATATGCTGAAAACACACACATGTGCAGACCTGTGCTGTTAGCAAACATTTGATAATCAAATGCATGGATCACATCCACCCACAAACATGCATTTATTATAATGCATTTATTGTAGTTTTCTTGCCATTCCTAAGGTTAATAGTCATGCTTGTGTATGTCTGTGTATGTATTTAGTTTAGTTTATTGCATTTGTTTAACAGGGGCCGTGCACAACACGTGTTGTGCTAGTTAGCTATAAAGCTAATTTGCATCTGCAGTCCAGCTCAGAGTATGTGAAGCTGCATAAAAACAGATGAATGAGAACCCGACTCCAAAGGTTTTGGAGGAAAATGTTCCCATGCACTGGCAGGTACACAATTGCGCTTTCCTGTGCATGTATTCACGAGTAATAGCAGAGAGGTCAGATTAAGTTGAGTACTTAAATGTATCTTGGGTCATGAATGTGAACGAAAAATTATTTTTTGTTTCTTTTGTTTTTGTCCCTTTATCACTTAGGAGGACCAGCATAGAGAATGATTAGACCTGTGTAGAAGGCTCAGGTTTAGGGTGAAACCAGCAGACAAACCAGAGCAGACATTGGCACGGGAGTAGAAGCCTGGTGAGGGTCACCAGAAAGCACTGGGGCTGTTGTAATAGTGTGATCTCCACAGTTTACATTTAAGTTCATTTACACCAACTTGAAACAAAGGTGAACATGCTTTTTCTATTGATGCTCCAAGATTGTGGAATAGTTACCATCTCCTTTTCCCCCCATCATTTGAAGCATATGGTGTTAATGGATTTATTTTGATTGCATTTGATGTTTTTGACTATGACGTTTCCTATATTTATTAAATAACTATATGTATTTTAACCATAAACCAGACATTCATTAGTAAAAATTTTCAGCCATAAATTATGCAAGTCTGAGTATTCATTTTTAAGACACTGTCAATGGCTTTTCTTTTTCTTTGCTTTGCATAATTCTTTGTAAAATCCATCAAATTGGCTGTTTAACAGCCTGATCCATTACGCCAGTTCAGTGCAAACTAACCCAGAAACTAGCTCAACATACATACAGTGGCTCCTGATTGGCATGATTTTTATTTTATTTTTATTTTTTTACCAACATGTCTGGCAGTGTATGAACTTTATATGCAAAAACATGCCTTCATCAAAAAAAAAAAAAACCTTTCCAGAAATATAGTAATGATACATACTTTAAGATTGACGCGGTTTACAAGGTGTAAATGGTGGCTCCTCTTACCCCACAGCAATTTATGAACTAAAATTTTACAGAAAAAAAAATGTCAATGCCTGCATGTATTGCTGCATACTGTATTTTGCATTTGATAAACTCTGACTTGATACATGCATAGAGCATTACTTTGGAAGGCCAGTGGGTGGCGCTACAGACCGCTTGACAGAGCAGCAATTCACATCAACCATATTCAACACACTAAATAGAGCTTCCTGGCATTTATTTGCAATTATTCTTTTAACAGGACTGTACAATTTATACCCAAAGTACATTATACAGCGGTTTGAAAAAGAGCAACATCAAAGCAGCAAAAAAAAAAAAAAAAACACTGAAATCAAATTTACAATAGGGCAAAATGTTAAACCTCTGTACAGAATGAATCTGCTGAAAGTTAATATCTGAAATTAAGGTCCTGTACAACAAATATACATGAATTCTCCAACTTTTATTTTGTCCTGCATAGGATTCTGTACATTGCCATTCGTCTACATTTGGTTCTTTTGTGCATTTAACATTAGTATGCTGCCTGGGCCTAGTGTGCCAGCAGCCGCTCTGTATGCTAGAATTACATTCTCGTAGCTAGTTGAACAAAGCAAGGAAAGCTAACACTGTCGTCTGTACCACATGACATTACTAGAGTGAAGAATGCAACCTTTGCAGGCCAGTTACAGTAACTCTGAACGGAGGCTCTTCAAAGAAATCCTTAATTTACGGAAACCCAGCAGAGACCGTGGGAGTTGACAGTGGTTTGCCAGGTCTCTCTCTTTGTTGAACTGGGAGGCAACCATGTGAAAAACCAAATGACAACAGTCGCATTTCAAAGTACTTAACAGTAGCTGTGCCCTATCGAGTCTCCAGAAGGCATTATTTTTCTTCAATGACTTTGTGACATTCTCTGGGTGTGTCTAAATTTTCATGCTTTATTTTTCTTTATTCTCTTTCGAAACACTTTTCTCAGTAAACCCAAATCTCATGAATTCAAGACAAACGTCCTCAAGCTGAGCTTCTTTTCCTTCCGGCTGCCTGCTCCAGGGACGGAGATCAGCCGCTGGCCAGCCGGGCTGTCAGGCAGTGTTCAGTGCAAGCTGTCAGTAGGAGCTGGAGTTTGGTGCCAGGGCTCCTGAAGAACTGGCCCGTCTGATGTGAGGCAGCAGGTAGGAGTCACTTCCCAGCTGGTGCACATCAAACCGGTCCTCCTTCCTGTAGGCTAGACACCGGCGGATGAACGCCTGCAGGAAACAGTCACATGCCATTTATTACAAACACAAAAAATGGTTTTGCACTAAATAATAAGTGTGTCTAAGAAAATATGCTAAATGTCAAAATTTGAGATTTTGCCTCAACAGCATTTTATGCCGTTTTCAGCAATTTCTTATGACATTCTCCTAACAGTTAAACTCTAGTGACTCGGAGTTTGTGAGCCAACTCAACGTCACTGTTCTATAGGATTTATCTGTAACCAAATCCAAATGATGCATCGCTAAAGAAACTGTCAGCAGTCTTACTGAATCCGATTCATTTATTGATAGAGTTGATTATATGAAGCAACGAGCAGAATAGCACTGGTGCAGTTTATATTAATACAGTTTTCTCTGCATAATGTTCCTTATTAGGGAGAAGAAAACTGATTATTTGTCAAATTCAAATGATTTTTAGGAAATGTTGACAGTATGGGTGAATTTAAACTGTATATTGATAGAGAGTTTGTCTGGTTAATTATTTAATGCACTAGCACTGCTGTAGTTTATATAAAACAATTTTCAACAGCAGAATGTTACATTTTTAGAAAGCTAACTGGCAATATCTAATAAAATGATATCTTAGTTTTATCATCATTATATATAATCTATATAGACTGGCAGGGCTGGTGAACAGGGCTTTACTGGTAGTCCACTGTATGAAGAATTTTTGCGTATAATATGTCTGATCTTTATCTCTCCGCATGCATTTCCATCTACCAGTAAAATATTCCCTGCACACAACCACACAGACAAAAATAAATACACAAGCACACACATTTCCTATACAGGATTATCTTCAATATCGTTCACATGTGTGACCCGGGACCAGTGTCAATTTTTCGAAATTGAGATTTATACATTATCTGAAAGCTGAATAAATTGTATTTTTGGCTATTGCTACAAATATACCCCAGTGACTTAAGACTGCTTTTGTGCTCCAGGGTCACATATGCATAACAGGGGTGGGTGGAAAAATAATATATGCGCTACATTCAAAAGTTTGAGGTCAGTACGATTTTTAAAAAATAATATAATATTTTTATTCAGCAAGGCTGTATTAAATTGTTCAAAACTGACAGTGAAGACAGAAAAAAAAAATCGAATAAATGCTGTTCGTTTAAACTTTCTGTTGAAATAACCCTGAACAAACGTATCAGTTTCCACAAAAATATAAAGCAGTGCAACTGTTTTCAACATTGATATAAAGAACAGTTTCTTGGGCAGCAAATCAGCATAGAATGATTTCTGAAGGATCATGTGACACTGAAGACTGGAGTAATGATGCTGAAAATGTTAATACATTACATACAACAAAAAAAATAATACATTCTCACAAATTCTTGTTTTTACTATATTTTTTTAGTAAAAAACAAACAAACAAAACAAAAACTGTACCAAGCCCAAACTTGTAAACGGTACACTGCTCTGCTTACATACATGCATATATACTGGCAAAAAAATAAATACAATTCCAGCATATTTGAGTGTTATGAAAAGTAAAATATAATTACTTTCAAAAGACAGTAACTAGTAATATATAATGTATTACATTTTGGAAGTAACTTGCCCAACACTGAATATATCATGAAAAATAACAACAAAGTTAGGGTTACACCAAGTCTGATGTACCTAAAATTTGTAGCAAATCAGATTCTGTAAGTCTATACATAATGAAAATGCACTCTAGTCACTCAAAAGATTTAAAGAGTTTAAATAAATAAATAATATATATTTAACAATATCATGAATATTCTGATACATAATCATTTCTATTAATTAAAATGAATAAAAATTATTAATTTTCCTCCTCATCTCTTTTCTCACCCGCAGCAGATCGTCTATCCTGCCCTCCTTCTTCTCCAGGTCCAGGTTTTTATTGCTCTCTATAGCGGCCAGTTTCACCACCGTCAGGTCAGTCTACAGGAGGAGCAAGACACAAACACACACAACTCAACACAACTTATTCATGATTGATATTCTTCAAATACAGTCATTTCAAGTTGCAGGGCTTCATTTGTTGTCAAAACATTTCCCTTTTTCTTTTTTTGTTATGTGAACACTCCATTAAAACAGTCATGGAAACCTTTTACCATGCATTAATCATTTATTTGTGCTATTTCTTTTATTTGTCTAAAATTTTTACATTTTATTGTTTTATCATTATCCTAGACTCATTTCTTATAAATATTAAAACTCAATACATTTATGACAACCAAAAAACAAAAAGAAATATATATATATATAAATATTTTTGCTCTCATTTACACCACAACCAACAATTTTGGCTCTTAAAAAAATACCAGCAAAATAAGTTAACGTGATAATTGATTAATTAATTGATTGATTGTTCTAAAACAACTGCTAATGAGACTCTTGTTATTTATATAAATGTAAGTGCACTTATGCACAGTCCCACCTGAACACTCTTGACCGCCATCTGTCTAGAAGAAACCAAAGAGTCCCCAAAACACAGACTGGTGGGAGACGAGCTGCTCTGCCGGGTCTGAAACACAGCATTGTACAACATTAGACTGTGCAGTAATGCTGTAGTAACTGTGTAGTAATGAGAGGCACGCACAGGCAGTTTGTATTGTGGGAATATAGATGAGTGTTGTTGTGACGTGTATGTGTGTGTGTGTGTGTGTGTGTGTGAGAATGTCAGTTGTGTACGGAGCGTGTGTTTGATCATGATAAACAATTATTGGACTGAAATAAGTCCGAGCATTAGCATCGGTCTCGGATGACCCGATCATAAGTGGTCTGTGCTAAATACAGGTGTAAATGTGGTCAAAAACATTTTTTGATCAAATGCTGCTGCACATACGGTAGTAGTTGGAAACATGCACTAGTGATGTAAAGGTACTCAAAAATGTTCAGCGTGCAACTTGCCTTTGAAGTCAAGGTTCAGTATGTTTTTGGTACAGCAGGTTGAAAAAAAAGTTGAAAATTGCTTCTTTTTTTCTTTTTATTAAACAGTAGTTTACCGAGTATGGCTCTCTCTGTAAAAAAAATTAAAAGTCTGCCAATGCTGCTGCAAATGTTTTAGCAAAATGTATATTTTATTCAGAATTACTGTGCTCCCATTCTATTGCGTTGTCTTTTAGACCCGTATAGGTGCTTGTTCAGCGAAGTCTGTGAAGTTTAACAGAGACTAGCATCCTTTCATTTCCCCCTTTATTTTTCAGATGTGTTCACAATATCGAAGAATATCGTCCTAGGGGGGAACTCAGAATTTCAAATCACGTTTCGCACACACAAAAGTTCCACACATACAGTGGTTAAAAACAATGCTGCATTCATTTGGTATGCGTGCTGAACTGAAAGACCTGTACCAAACAAATACATGTACCATTACTAATTAGTGTAAAGAGCATCCTGACATCAGCATGGAGCAACACACATCCAAAGTTTAGTTAATACAGATACTCCACTAAAATCCTAAAGATCATCCTGCTCAAAACAGAATAACATAGTGATGTGTGGAGTGATGAAATCAGAGACCCTCCTTTTGAAATCCGTTCACAAGTGTTCACGAGAGATGCATGCTGCTACCAGGTGTAGCTGGTGGTGTGTCTCGCCTGCCCACTTGTGATCAGATCACCAGAGGCAGCTCTTAATACCAGGTGTAAACAGTGTGTGTGACGTACGCTGGATCCTGGTGCAGAGTGGGAATGTGAGTTCTGGGGTGAACGGATGACTGACGGTAGACCTCTTACTGGACTGGACCCATTACCACCCTGAAACTACAGAGAGAGGGAAATAAACAAATCATATGGTTTTAAATCATCATCCATGTAAGCAATTCTAGACACCACTCCACTGAACACCATATGGACTGTTTTTGTCCTTTTTGGAGTTTAACAGCCACTGGTTATTATATGCTTTCATTGCATGGAACAGCAACTTGGACATTGTGCTAAATATCAGCTTCTGTATCTGACTGAAGAAAAAGCATTTGCGTGTGGAATGACATGAGGGTGACTAAATGATAGAAAAGCCATTATGGTAGAACTATTTTAAGGTGATGCCATAATATTTTCAATGTTAAAACACTTTCTGCTTTTCCAGCTTAATGTGGAGAGACAATTAGAAGAACACCACTCTTAAAACATTGTTCGGTTTGAGCATCCTGATATAGCAAAACTGCCTTAAATTTGAATCAGACCAATGGCAGACGGAATGCATTCGGGAAACCCGTTATGAAAAATATGCCGTATTATTTTCGCAATGCCGCGTCATTGACGCTAGTAGCACCAAAATGATAGATTACTACAAAATTAAAAATTCAAGCACATTATAATATTCAATAAATGTAATTTTTTTTATAAAAAAAAAAAAACGTATTGTGTCTGAAAAACCTTTCATCAATGTAAAATGTTGCACCACCTCTGAAATGACTTTGATGTAACCAATAATGCCAGGTGGGAATATATTCTTAATTATATTTATTTATTAAAAATACTACTCTTCACTATCCAATCACATCACAATTAAAATTAAGTCCACCCTACATTATTTCCATGCAAATTTTCTGTTTTGCTTGAAAATGTTACGCTAACTGTGCTGCAAATATGATTTCATGTTTTTAAAACAACATCATCCTAGCTGCAATCTCTATATAGCAGTTACGCTTTCATTAAGCCGATGATTTATCATATGCTTTCATTAGCTTCCCCTCAAATTACTGACAGATACTCACATCAAAATAATCACTAATTTTGGGTCCCCGAATGACAGACTTCCCTATGAGAGAAAAGTAAAAAAAAGACATATGATTAAGCATATTAAGCTAAACAAAGAATATACTAGAAAACAGACAAGACAGACAGACAGACAGAGAGAGAGCGAGAGAGAAAGAGCGAGAGAGAGAAAAAGAGTTAATCGTTTACCCTGACTGCTCTCTGATTGGTTGTCAGCTTTCCTCTTCCTGCCCCGTGATGATTCAGAGTGCTTCTTTTCAGGAGTCTATAAATGGGAGACATTACATTCAGACACCATTTGTTATGAATTTATTCAGGTCTTATTTTGCACCCGATGCACAATAACGCTGGCCTCAGCAAGCACTGAGCACCACATTTAAATTCATAGTCTCCTGAGAGCAAACCGTACAATCTCTGAACATCAGCTGAGAGTATAACGAGACATATTGTGTCTTCAAACAGTATTTAATGACTCTTGAGTCTAAATGATTCTAAGAATATCCCTAATGTGAGAGTGCATGGATTATGGGGCCTGGACCAATAATCAGAGTCTATTTTCTCTCTCGCTGGGGAAAGGATGCAGAAATATCCTGATCTTTTCAGCACAGACAAAGAGGGGTGTGCTGCCAAGGGCATCTTTGTATTCTGATCAGAGAGGAGTTCTCGCTCACTGGCTTGGGCTGAAACCTCCACACCTGCCACCAAACTCCAGCACACACACCAACGCTATTAAGAGATAAACTGAGTCCTACACACACGGTTAATCTAAAAAAAGAAATGCTATAATCTCTTTATAGCTGTGAAACCGAAAGAGAGTGTTTCCAAAATAGATGTGGTTAAACTCCACCCTGCATATTATACATGGCTCCTTCATATTAATTTCTCATAATCGGGGTTTAATTTGAGGTTATCGTAAAACATGATGAACTCTTGTGTGGGCAAGGCCAGTGCGTTTCTGGAAACTGCGTCACGTCTCTCCAAAGAGAGGAGTGTCGATGTGATTGAACCAAGAGCCTCCAAAAGCATCATTCGTGTCTCTTAAATTCTCACATGACGGGGACAGAGAGACTTACTGAATACGCAGGAGAACTTCCTCTTTTCCCATCTGATCCCTGCAACAGAGAAAGAGGAGGAAAGAATGAGAGAAGAGGAAAAGGAAAAGGGAAAGCAAAATTAAATGAGAGAATGAAAGATAAAGGGAAAAGGAAAAGAGGAAAAAGAAATAAAATGAGGAAGGGTTAAGGAAAATTTAAGGACAAAATTTAAGGGCAAAGGAAAATGGTAAGATTAGAAAAAAGGCAAAAGGAAAAGAGAAAATAAAAGGCAACAGAAAACAAAAGAGGAAAGGATAAGGAAAGAAATTAAAAGAAAAAGACAGAAATAAGGATGACAAAGGAAAGGAAATGAGAGAATGGCATGAAAAGGGAAACAAAAAGGAAAGGAAAATGAGAAAGGAGAAAATTAAAGGACGGGAGACAGAAAAAGAAAAGAGAATAGGAAATGAGAAGGAAAGGAAACAGAGAAACAAAAGAGGAAAACACAGGAATACAAGCAGGATGCAGAGAATACAGGAAGAGGGCAAAGAAAGGAGGAAATGAAAGTAAAAAGAAATATGATAGGATATTATAAGAAAAAGGGAAGGAAAGAGAAAGGGAAATGCGAAAAGAAAAGAAAAGGAAAACAAAAGAGGAAATGATAAATAAATGAAGGGAAAAGGATAAAGAAAAATTTAATGAAAAGAAAAGGAAAAAGGATAGAGTGGAAGAAAGAGAGAGAGAGAGAGAGAGAGAGAGAGAGAGAGAGAGAGAGAGAGAGAAAGAAAACAAAAGAGGAAAGGCTAAGGAACAGAAATGAAAGGGATAAGGAAAATGAAAAGGTAGAGGAGAGGAGGAACAGGGAAGTGTTTTTAGATGCGAGTGGGTCAGGAGCTGCAGACTAAAGCACTGAAGCTGCTGTTTATAATTAGCCCTCAGTGACAATGACAGAATGTCACGGTGGCCCTAACGAGCCGGCACAGCCTGATATTGATGTTCTGCACGCTCCACACTGGCATTTTTGGGTCACAACGGCCACAAGCTCAGAACAAGCAACACGCTCGCCATCAGAGAAAATCTACCACCACTGTGAGACAATTACTGAAGCTGCAATATAAGATGCTGACGAGACAAAGGCAAACATAATTCAATGCATCAAAAAGAGAACAATCTGTGCTGCTTCATCAGTCAGTCTTCATTTGATAGAAGCTATAGAGGAAGACACTTCCGCACACGAAGCTTTCTGAAATACAAAGATTACATAATCTTCATTCCTGTCACTGAAAATGGAAATCCTTGATATATACATATACTCAAATCCATCATGAATATGCAAATCATTCTGCATTAAATGAGTCGTGTGCTTCAGGCTGCAGGTGTTGGAGGCTGTGATTAGCGTTCAGAGGATTATGGGTAATCTAGTGTAGGTAGTCTGAGGTGGGGCTGTAATGGGGGTTTTGTGAGTGAGTGAAAGTTTGACGGTTGTGTGTGTGTGTTCTGTGTGTGTGTGGTGGCTCTAATGCAGTGGCAGTATGTGTGTGACAAGTGTGTGCGCGTGTCTACACTATCTAGGTGTCTGACATCTGGCATAATAAGCAGCTCACAGCCACATGAGAGGAGTTTGTTCTCAACCTCCCAGTTCACTCTCTCTCTCCCTTCATAACTCGCTCCATTGGCCTCCTCCTCCTCTCTTCTCTGATTTATGTCACAGCAGGTGTGTTGTGCGGGGGGAGGGGAGGACGATTCTCCTTAGTATGATACTTTGTGTGTGTGTGTGTGTGTGTATGTGTGTGTGTGTGCGTGTGTGTGTGTGTGCCTGTGTGTGTACGCACATGTGTAGTTCTTTGCATGCTGATGGTTTAACTATCGGGGGTTATGACAGATGCCAACCCAGCTCGAGTCTGCTACAAAACCTAAACACACACACACACACACATATATAGAATGACACAGCATCCTCTATGAGGCAGAAGCGCAGCCCTTAGCACACGCAGAACTAGAGCTTCATTACAGGGAACACACTCACACACCAGCATCAATTTCTCTGTAACGCTTTGAATCAAAGAAAACACAGCAGAATGTCTCTGCGCCATCTGCTGAACTATGAACTTGAGTTATTAACAACAGCTTTCATCAGGAATCAACCGTGAGAAATGGAGAATCCATTACTGATCTCGGACGCTTCAGTGTACAATGAACCGTGTTACTGATCTATGTATTTCCTTGTCATTCACAGTCCTTATGGACAAAACTTCTAGAGCTGTACAAATAAAATATCACAGCGTGTGATTCAGACACACTTCTCGCGTGGTGAGAAGACACCTACAGCTCAAATGCCTACATGGAAATCTTTATCCAGAAGGTTGATTCAAATGATCTAGTTGCTATGATGAATGAAGAAAGCCAACCTTGAGAGTGTTTTGAATTAGTATTTTCTGAGGTGTTTGCAGAGGACCTGCAAATTCAAACGGGATGGAGATCTCCTTTCTGGGAATTACCAAGAATGAACGCTGTGCTCAGAAGTGTTGCTCCTGAATGCCAGTGAGCAGTTATTTAACACAAATGCTTCCTCAAAGTTCACTAATAAAAGACCTTAAAACAGAAAATGACCATCGACAGACATTCCGACTTCTCTTAAAGTTAATTCACCCAAAAATGAAAACTCTGTCGTCATCATTTACTCACCCTCATGTTGTTCCAAACCCATAAGACTTTTTTTTTATCTTTGAAAGTCAATTGAAGATATTCTTAATTAGTGAAAGCCACTCAATGTCCATCATTCATTAGTAAAAAAAATTACTCTAGAGAGCAGCTTTTTGCTAAATATATGCACTATATTACATGTTCAATGTATTTTTACTCAACCTGTTATCATTATTTAATGCGTTTGAAACAAGTTTTTACAGCCACCGTTTAAAGGTTTACATTTCAACAACATACTGGAGTAGAAACAATTATATAATACAAAAAAGTTAATATAAAAACTGCCTTATGCACAATTTAAATGTATCGCGAGCTTCATCTTTCAAAATAAATGTAAAGACAGAGCCCGAAAGGGGAACAGAGTCGCGTGACAGACACAGTGATGAAGCTGGTATGTGTTTGCAGTACACAAGCCACGGTTAAGACAGCTGACTCCACTGTGATGTGACCCTGTCTCTCTCTCTCTCTCGCTCACACACACACACACACACACACACACACATACACATGGCCAAATATTGTCCAATCCTAACAAACCATACATCAATGGAAATCTTATTTATTCTGCTTTCAGATGATGTATAAATCTCAATTTCAAAAAATTGACCCTTATGACTGGTTTTGTGATCCAGGGTCACAAATGTTTAAAAACAACTCTGTTTCTAATCTGAGTGTTAATTATTCAATAAATTAGATTAATTGATTATTAAATAAACTTTATTTTCAGTTTTCAGCTTAATGAAAACTTTAATTTCGGTTTTGGTGTTTTGGCAAAAAAAATAATAATAATAATTTCAATGCATCTCAAATTAAGGAAATCCAAGATATTTCTGTCTGTGCATTGAAAGTCCATTTCAACAAAATTTGGACTCTTCAAAAGTTCATAAAGACATCATAAAAGAAAACCATATGAATTGAGCGGTTTAATCCAGAAGCTCAATCATACTTGCTTGATGTGTGAGGAGAACAAATCTGTTTCTTGCATATCAAGCAAAGACGTTTGAGATTTCATTTACTATATTTGATGTGCTCTGTGTTATGTGGGCTCATCAAGGTTTATGTGTGAAAAGGTCTAAATTAAATCTGTTTATCATATTAAGCATTTGTGTCTCTTCAGGAGACTTGGATTAAGTGGCTCAATTCATACGGGTTACTTTAACAATGTCTTTATGAACCTTTTGAAGCATCACATTTTTAGTTGCAGACTTTCAATAAAGGGACAAAAATCTGTCAATAAAATCTCTTCATTTTTGTTTTTGAAGATGATCAAAAGTCTTATGGGTTTGGAACGACATGAGGGTTGATGAAATATTTCATTTGGATGAGCTAACCCTTTAATTGGCCAATAAATTATTGGCAGATGCTGTTAATCTACAGGTTATCAAATATCAACTGATTAATCAGTCAGGGCGATAACATGAGTCTATCGCTAACTGCAATGAATCAATGCTATAAATCATGACATATGATTATTTCCCACTGAATATTCTGTTTGGAAATACGTCACCGTATATAAGAGGTATTTGGTTTAAAGCTGTTTGTACAATCATACAGAACTAAACTCACCTCTGACTCTTTATCACTGGAGGAGCCCAAGCTACCAAAACTGTGATTGGAGCATTCGTTGTTTGTCAGGGTCTGTACAGGAGAAACACATTTACATGAGTCGATGCAGATGAGCCAGGCAGATGAACATGAGGTATTCATGCAGCAGGTGTTATGAATTAATTATACGACAACTTCAAGGAGAGGACAGTTGTATAAGCAAGACAACATCTCACCGCAAAAGAAAACTGGTTTTCAGTGTGAAGTGCACTGTAACCTGACATGAACCTCACGGTCAAAGTGTCTTCCCTTTCAGAAAGCACAATTTGTCAAAAAGAGTCAAAAAGCTCTTCATGAAAGTAGGAAGACTTTGAGCCTCTTCCATGAATCTGTGTCGGAAACCACATGAAATCAAGCAGCGCCCAGAGGCAAGAATCCACGTCTGAACCCAGTGTTTGTGTAACATCATCCTGTTAGGGCTGCGCAACTGAAATACATATGGCTCAGTCCTACTTTCAAATAAATACAAGTCAGAGATTTGCAAAGGCTGCAATTTAATCAGATAAATATATGTGATATACATGAATTAAAATGTGTGTTGCTTTGAGGGCTCCCTGTGGTTTACTGTCAAATTAAAAGTTAGTTTAACATTTGAAAATTAAGAAATTAAGGCAGCCATAAATATTGTAATTTTACAGCTGTAATGCAAAAATTTAATTATATTAATTATATTCAATTTCAGGTATAATTTTTTTTATTTTACAGTCAAATATTATATGTGCCTTATTGTTTTTACTTAGTAATATTTATATTATAATTTAGCAATAATAATAAAAACAATAATATTACTACTAAAATATCCCATAATCCTGTGCGCGCAGTTTGGTGAATAGAATTGGTGTCTGAAGAAACAGTTTAAAAAAAGTCCATATATAAATATAACTTTTTTTTCTTACTACTATTCCTACCAAATAAATATAGAAACTAAAGCATAAACCTTGCTTGAATTGGTTCTACGTCATAATTGAGGCGTAATGGTGTCTTTCATTCAAAAACGCTACCTTCCGTTTCAGACACAGCCACTGTTTGCAAGCTCGTGTATTTGATAAACTCAGCCACTAACTTTGGTTCCTCCGCTAGCGCTACCAGTGCTGCCCGCTGTGTTGCCGCTGACGCCGCCCAGAAATCTGGCCTCCAGCAACTCCTGCCGGCGTGGGTCCAAACTGTTCAGCTCCTCCATAGCACCTGAGTGATAACACACACACATATAGGTCACTCTAAACGTGTTTCAGTCCTGGAAAATTCTTTGCTTGTACTCACTTCATACAGGTAGACAGTAGGGCTGCACGATATTGGAAAAAACTCACATTGCGATATTTTATTTTTCTGCGAAATATATTGCGATACGGAAATTGAAAAAAAAAAATTATTGGGGTGATTTTGTAGGCGAGTAAATCAGCATAGGAAATAAACAAATTACAAGCATAGATAAATATAACAGAACAAAGATACAAATGAAATAAGCAGTGCTTTATATTTTTCAGGTAAGTCTAACAGTATTCAGGTACAGAAATTGAATATGCAAAATAACACTGCATAGTCTTCACTGTATAAATTAAATCTGTGATAAAGCTACAAAAGTAATTTTTCTTTGTGTTTTGTTGTTTGATTAACATTCATAACACAGAAAGCCTCTGCTTTAAAACTGCTGTAAACCAATATAGGATACTGTTACACACATCTATTTTCTTTCTGAAATGTTTCCCTTCACCTAAGCAACTGCGTTTATAAGGATACTTGCAGAGCACAGTATTTCAGGCACAAATAGATGCAGATGACCCCATTATAATCAGTGATTCTGTCTGTCTACACTAGATGCGGCGCGGCACGACAAATCCCCGACAGTAAACTGATGCCTCGTTCTATTTATGACGTACTGACACAAAGTTCAAATGATGTCTTTGTCGCGTCCAGTGTAGACAGACTTTGGGGCTGTTCACATGTTGCGCCTAAAAACGCGTGGTTTTTTGTATATTATAACCTGGAACTTGGATGTGGGATATAATTATAGTTAGATCCAAAAGATAGTTTTAGCAACACAGCGCAGATGCTACAGAACACAGTTAGCTGACTAGCTGTATAAGATTGTGTGCTACGCTAATATATTACTTCACAGGCATTACTGGCTTGTATTTTTAAATCCATAATATTATAAATTGACAGTTTATTGCTGGTCTGTGGTTTTACAATGCTGTAATTTTTAAAGATTTCATATGTAAGATGAGCTTAAAGGGTGCTATGCTACTATGAAAATCACAGCTTCAGTGTGATATCAATAAGAGAAAGTATAATTTCATACATATTGTTAACAATAGTTGTTCATAATAAAATATGTATGAACTTAATACATGACCTAGAT